ACTGAGCAAGTCATTTGTTTGCCAATCGGACATCACAGCTTGTGCGGTGTTCACTGCAACATGCATGAAACACTGGTGTGCACTAACATGATATCTGACAAAACCACATATGCACACACAAATATTGTACAAGTCTAGATGTTAAATCTAGTCACAACTGTTAATTTTTTTTTGTCACTTTTGTGACCATTTTAGTCGCAGTGTGGAGCCAATGTGGTCTTTTCAGCAAGAAATTTTCTTGGTTTAGAGTCAGACTGTGACTCAATGAGTAGTCAATAATGTACTGTATAATCAGGTGAATTAGTACCATACCTCCATGGCTCAGCAGCACTCCAAATCATTCCTTCTTGCCAGACTGGATCCTGACTGGTCATCTGCGGCTGGAAGAAACCCTCAGACACTGGAATTACACTGGCAATTGGTATGTCTCTGGAAAGGTAGCAGAAAGGTTATATACTAGAGAATGATGTCTTCATAAAGCATTAGTATGTTTGTGTAGGTGGAGAAGAAATTATCTGACATAACCAACATCTGTATACTGCCATTTTAATGACTGCTAGAATATGAATGCATTCAACTATGTTAGTCTGGTGAACTGAACAAAACCACATCTTTGGCTGCCAATAGAGTTTGTGTCTGACTACTAACTTATTCTCTGGTGACTGAAGTCAGAATGTGCGTGTCCTCACAGTATATACAAATTAGCGGGCTACCACAATTTAAAGTTTGAGCAGTCATGGTGAAGAGCTAAAAAACTGAAAGTGAATTAGATGATTTGTTAACCAATGAGTCATGCTCAGAATGTGAACCCATCTTTCCCACAACCCCCAAAATGATGTGGATACAGTGGAATGCATGCAACTCCCAGCATGCTTTGAAACTGTGGCCCTGCGTTCGACATCCTGGCAAATAGTGACCATCTCTAAGGATAATATGCGACTTGCTGATCTCAAACGCTGCCTCTTTCTGATAGAACTTACAAACACATACAATGCTCTTCTGTCCAAGACCTGCGAGCAAAAGCGTGCACAATGTTTTCATTGCTAATGAGCGCATGAGGGGAAATGAACACTGAGGGTTATATTAGCAGAGACATGATCAGAAAATAACTGCATGAAAGAGTGAGAAAACAGAGTGGTTCACATGTTTCTATTTTCCATTAGAGGCACATTCCTTCAACATGCCTTAATAATCCAACTAATTAGCCTTCCGAGCTTTAATTATAAACTTCCAGCACGAATATCAACAGAAATGTTTTCATTTTGATTCTAGGTGTGGTATATCTCCACTGCTAATGACCTCATATTTGAAAGGTCCCCAATTACTCTCAACTTCAGAGTTCAGTGCTGGCAGTGACAGAGAACAGGTCTGCCCGACCAGCTCAGAAAAAAAAAAAAAATTTCATACCAATGACCTGCACCTGCAAATATGACCGTAAATATTTTGTGAAATGTCACTGTGAAATTAAATTGACAATTACGAGCCCGGCGAGAGTCATCAGACACCAAATTAAGACAAAGCCAGAGCCCTCAATAAATCAGTCCGACTAAAACGTACAAATTTTGGATTCAGCTTTATATCATGATCAGCTTTTGTATGTCTTACTGGCTTTTTAGCTGCACAAAGTGGGAAACTGTGAATCACGATTATATATAACATTAAGTATAAACAGCATTAAATTGTGCTCTGATTAACACAGCAAAACTATTTTTTAGTTAATCAAAACTTTCAAAAGACTTCTCCAGATGTTTCATGTTCACTCACTGTCTTGACAAGGGGTTAATACAAACTCACCTTTCCGATTTTACAATTTTTTTTTTTACAAGGCATATCAAACTTGTCCAAAATGAAAGTAACTTGGCTCTTCTTCAGAATTACCCTGACACGAACTGGAACTTTATATGCTTTTTAAAGTCAGGACAGCCTAGAGGGACATTGTGCAATTTCAAAGATCTCTTTTTGGTGGTGGTCATTTACAGAGATAAGAAATGATGGGGTAACAGTCAAATTGGGATTAATACGCAAAACGAGCCAGAATCAAACTCGTGACTCCCACTCCTAGAACACGGATCTGACTTTGGTGAGATCTTTGAGGCACTTTAAACCATATCAGATTATGCACATTTATTGAGCATGCATTGGAAATGCCTCTCAAATATCACTTTCTAATTATACCTCCTGAACTCAGGCCCTCAAAATAATGCGATAGGATCCTAATAAGTAACTTGCATGAATTGCTAAATCTGAAATAACATCATTGCATTAGTACAATTACCAGCTCCTTTTATATATTTGGTGGTCCTTCTATGCACAAATACACATTTAAAATAACTATTTGATCTTTGGTATAATCTTTTTTTTTGGTTTACACACATGGCTCTTGGATATCCTTTCTTGCGCCACAAAAATGTAAAGATTATTACCTTTATTTAAAAAACGCAACCCAGCAACTTAAAAGTAATTTAAAGTTGTGAATGATTCATTCTTTAACATTTTTTTCGGACCTTGTAACTTTTAATTAAAATATCAAAACTCGATCTTCCGGTGAAACTGACTGGTGATGTATACCAAACTTAAATCCTGCTCCTTTCTCACAATGGACTGCAAGCTCACATTCACATCTGCCTCCATTCAATCAACAACCGATGGATTGAACCAAGTCCCCACCACACATTTTTTCTTTTTCAATAATCGGTTTTAATCAGTTGGTTGTTTACTCAATTTTCAACTATTTCAGGTATAACTTTCATTTACAATGATCAAACTACAGGTTTTCCTTCATTTTTAAAAGCTCCAAAGCGTCAAATCACGCAAAACGCACAGAATGAATTTGTTCTGAGCTGTGAGGAACCACTGTATAAGGATGAGCACACAGCTGTGTTGTTGGAAACTAATTAGGATCACTGGTTATCTGGAGATCTGTAACTCTCTTTGACTGACCCATTGTTTAACTATTCACCGTCTACCAACCAACCCTGCTGGACTCTGACACCTGAATTCATTTCCTGTGTTTCATGTGTGTGGTTTGTGTGTATGAAAGAGTAAGAGAAACAAAGATCAAGAGACAAAAGACTGAAACTGAGGATATCAACCCTTTAATTTACGATGACATTAAGATTTAAACAAAGGGAAGGTTTTACTGGGAGGGTTGGAATCTGCTAATTTACCATTTCAAATACAAAAACCCATACTGCCCTCTCCCTGACTTGCACACATATCTAAACACGCATACATACACAAAACCAATCCCCCCAGCATTGGCGCCAGCATTGACACACAAACCAGAGAGGGAGTCACTCTGTCATCAGAGGAGCAGACCGCTGGACAAACACTTTTGTGGTACACTGACCACTGATTTGATTGATAACCTTAACTACAAACTAGTTATGTCCGATTGTTATTTTGAAACAGATCTTTTTAAAAATGATTCAAGTTTTGTATGTCGCTTGACTGTAAAGAAAAATTTGGATAAATAACTTTAGATGGGAACTAATAATAATAAAAAAAAGCAGTGTTTAACTAAAATGTATTTAGACCATGTAATCATTTTTTCCTTCAAAATACCATTGCTTATACAGTTATTGTTACTCATAAAAACTTGTTATTCATCATAAAAATAAAAAAATGACAAAGACTCATAAAACATTATTATTCTTTTGGTTTTACAGTAAAAGCAAAACTGTAGTGACGTTTTCGTATTTTGGTGGAAACTATGGCTGCCATGGACATTTTGTAATTTTTAAGTGGGAGACTCCAGAGAACAGAATGAGTGTTGATGTAATAAATTAGTAAATCATATTTTGAACCAGTTGAGTTCACTGAAATAAACAGTCTGAACAAACCAATTCACTAGAATACATTTTACTTCCCTAGGTTACAACAAATGCATTATCAATTATTGCCAAATGCCTGTAATAACTTAACAATATTGTGATAAATGAGGGAGTGCAAAATCTGTTTGAAAGCCATCATTATTTTTGCAATGTTTGGTCCCTTTATGTTCATATGGTAACAAAACAGATTCCGTAAAAATGATTACTCGAGTACCGTGTACAAATAGTTTCACTATTAGCCTAACTGTTGTTTATCATCAAACAATATGAAATCCTTCACTATTCAAGTGTAAGGGTGTTTTAACCACACGTACACAAGCCATTTAAGCTTAACATAAAAAAAGAGCTAATTGTGATCTAAAGGCCACTGTAATGGTCAAGTGTGCTAATAATGACAGAGTTGGCTGTTTTAACCCCAGTGAGGCAGTCGATGCACAGGCTCATATTTCAAATAATGCCCTCGCTTCTTTAACAAGGCTGCAACTGAACAAGTGTGACCTGAAGCTGGCTGACTAGGACCAATACATATCCTTGATTCAAGAGGTCAAGGCTTATGCTATCAAGGGAGTGCTAATGATTTTTTCATTAGCTAATAGAAGCTCCAGTTTCTTTTATGCCTGTGTGTTTGTGAGTGAGAATAAAAAATAAAAAAACTGTGTAACTTCTATTATTATTACATTTTATGACGATTATTATGTCCTGCAGCAAGTGGAATGTCTATGACTTAAAGGGTTAGTTCATCCAAACATGAAAATTTGGTCATCATTTATTAACCTTCATGTCATTCCAAATCTGTAAGCAGTGTTGGGAAGGTTACTTTGGAAATGTAATAGCTTACAGATTACAAGTAGCCATATTTAAAGTGTAATAAGCAGTGTAACTATTTCAATTACTTTATTAAATTAATGCAACTGATTACTTTTTACAAAATCAGACTTCAGCACCTCTTTTTACTTTGAGATCGTTCTGAGGTTAAATGCTGATTTCAAATCATAAGATATAGTTTAATAGCTATGATATTGTTTTTGAAATCAAATCTTTACATAGCTATGACAGGAAACACTGGCATCTAATTAAGCATATACCCTTTGTAATTGTTAACATTTTCATAAATAACTAATTTAATTATACATTTTTTTCTCAGTAAATGTAACAGATTACAATTATATTTATTTTGTAATTAAATTATGTAACTCTGTTACATGTAACTAGGGTTACACTTTATTTTAAGGTGTCCTTGTTACAGTATAATTATACATGTAAGTACTGAGTAATACTGATTAACTACCTGTACTTACTTTATGGTTAGGGTTTGTCTTAGGTTTACTTGCATGTAATTGTGCATAATTTATTGTTATTATAATTAATAACATGTAATAAGTACGTACATGTAACGTGTAACCAGAACACCGTAGTGTTACATAGTGTTACCATAACTAGTTTCTCCCCAACACTGTCTGTATGACATTCTTTCTTATGCAGAATACAAAAAGATGATATTTTGAATCACACTGGGAGTCTGAACAACACTGGACCCCAATGATGTTCAATGAATGGACAAAAAAAAAAAAAAAAAAAAAAAAAAAAAGGAAAAAAAAAAAAAAAAAAAAAGAAAGTGTTCCACAGAAGAATGGAAGTCATACAAGACTGGAACGATGCAAAGGTGAGTAATTGATGACACAATTTTCATTTTTAAGTGAATTATCCCTTTATCAATATATTCAGATTTATAGGCCTAGTTGTACACAAGCAATAAGTGCTATTAATACAAAGAGCTGAAACTGAGCTGTTTCCTTTTAGAGTATATAAGAGACAGCAGCAATACTTGTCGGTCACAAAGATCCAGACTAATGTTGATGACAATACACACTGAAGTTGATAACAATCCCTACCTTTCTGATACATCTTAATTCATAGAAGTCACATATCATGCATACACACTCGCACTCTGCATGTATAATTATAATGTTTACTGTATGCATTTTTTTTATTACGTGCTGCGAACAGCTCAGAATCAGTCTAAAGTAATGTTACACCTGACGTCCTCAAACACGCCCAAAAAACATGGGATCCCAGGCACAAACAATGCACACACACACACACTGTCCCTCTCACACACAAATCATGCACTCATTCATACAGCAGTTCAAAATGATTAACTTGTTTTACCTCTTTTTGTCCTCTTGGAATTACCTCTCTCTCTCTCTCTCTCTCTCTGTTAATGCATTCTTTTATGTCATCTCGAGTTTCCTGGATTCTGCCATCACCGTGGTAACCCCTCCCTCCTCTGGTCCCTCAGGTCCAGCCGGATGGGATGCTTTTGTGTAGCTGCCACATTTTTGGGGTAAAATGATCCCGTCCCCTTCACCCACACACACACACACACACACACGCAGTATTTGCACTTGGCATCACTTCAAAATTCAGGATTTAAAAAGCATAGAGAGAGACAACCTCTCACTCATGAATACTTCAGGCTTCTGACCAAATTCATACGTTTAAATATAATAAATCATTACTTATATTTATTCAACCACGCTTGCACCATCTGTGTTGCAGGACATCCTGGCTCTGACTGCCACAACAGCTGCTAAGCACACTCACGGGTACGAACAGGGACACCAGGTGTGTGAGAGACAATATGTATGCCGCCGTTTACAAGGAATGTTTGTCTGTTGTGTCTCTTTCTCCCCTTCAAATGATAATCGCCATAATCTCAGAAACCTCATTGTTATAAATATTGTGTTTCAGCACATTTATTCCTGATTGTGCACATTTGTTTTCGTGCCAGTTTAAGAATGTAGGTGTGTGTTTGTGTGCACATTTGTGAGCATCCCTGGGGGGGTCATACCGTAATCCTTCGGTGTGTCTCTGGCAAACGCAGGTCCCCAAACGTCTCTAGTTTCTCTTAGTAAATGATCTGATTAAAAAAAAAAAAAACTCCTTTCAGTCTGGCCCGTCCCAAAAACCAGACAGCTTCAGAGAAAAGAAAAGAACAGAAACAAAAGAGAAAGAGCGAAACGAAGACTTGGAAATGGGACAGAATAAGCCATACCAACACTTAGCTAGAAGCACTTTCAAGCTAGAAACCACTAGACAATGGAAAAAGCTGCAAATAACATACACCCACATGCTAATGTTTTATTTTAAGTAAACGGGTAATTAAAGAAGTGTTCAGAAACAATTATATAAATATATATAAAATACATATATAATAAATAACACTGTATTATAGAATAAAATTTGTATTATAGAAAGTAAATGGAATTACGTTTTTATATCTTATCATATTTTTATGACATTGGATACTCACATTTACAGTTCTGTAGACACTTCCATGTCCATTTGAATTAATACAGATGTTCAGACCTAAAGAGTAGAGTGCAAACAGTAAATACTTGTTGTGGCCATTTGAATATTAGATTAGATACAGTGGATTATGCATCAGAATAAGTCATTGTAAAGAGATACTTTCCAAATATGAAACATTTCTCATTAAATTTGATTTTGGTGATATTTTAGTTATGTGCCAAACTAGGCTGCATCTGATATGGCACTTAATGAATTACTGTTCCCGGCCAATAACTCCCAGTATTGATTTGTAACAGGAGACTTGCCCGAGTTGTGACCTTTTGTGTCTTTTGAGGCATCATGGGAAATGGAGTCTTTGAGAAGGCAGATGTGTGAATGACATCATTAGTTAATCAAGATATTTTAATATTTTAAAAGTTGATAATGTGCGCTGTTATAATTAAAGCACTGCTTAACAAAAATATCAAACAAAAAAGTTTTATGAATGAAGTAGTGCTGTCAAATGATTAATCACGCTTAATTGCATCCAAAATAGGTTTTTGTTTACATAATGTTTACTGTATATTTATTATGTATATATAAATACAAACACATGCATGTATACATTTAAGAAAAATGTTACGTTTATATATATCAATTATATGAATACAAATATATAATGTATTTTGGATGCGATTAATCGCAATTAATCGTTTGAAAGCACTAGAATCTTGATTAAAAAAATCGTGTCACGTCCTCACCAATCAACTAGTTTAGTGGTTTCCAACCCTGTCCTGGAGGCACCCCAACACTGCACATTTTGCATGTTTCCTTTCTCTGACACACCAATTTCAGGAGTTTCTACTAACGAGCTGATGACCTGAATCAGGTGTGTTTAAGGAGACATGCAAAAAGTGCAGTGTTGGGGTGCCTCCAGGACCAGGGTTGGGAACCACTGAACTAGTTGATTGGACTAGTTTGTTGGACGCAGTGTTGCCAATTTAGCTACTTTGTAGCTAGATTTAGCGACTTCCCCTTTTGAGACTTTTTTCAAAAGTTTATGGACAAATATAGCAACTTCTTGGACAAACCTTATCCAAGTTCTCATCTTGCCCACCGATCTACGTTCATCTTTATATAGATCAGTGAATTTGCCATTATGAAGTCATCTAGTGACATTTAGCTACCAGTTTTAGCTACTTTCAATTGAAAGCAGTTGGCAACACTGGTTGGACGTTTTACCTCTATTCCTCGTCATTTTCCATTTATGTAATATATAATAAAGTACATCCTGACTTATAGGGCCCATTTATGCCAGCTGCCAACGATTAACACGGCCAATTGACCTCTCACAGATTTCTCTACACATCTCCAATGTCAATGAGCAGGCAAGAGGCAATAAGTAGACCTAATTTAATCCATATAAATTAGACGAAAAGTCTCCGTAATCCCGAATTAATGAAACTGTCGCGGCCTCGTGCTTGCAGCGCAACGCTTGATGGGTTTTGGCGGCAAGCGCGTGCACTGGCGTGAATTATGTGCGCCGTGCCCGAAGCTCGTTCCCGCGTGACGCGTGTAACTCGAGCCCGCGCCGCGGCCGCCGTCAGTCAGAAATAAAAAATCATTTGTCCGCAGCGGGCGCGCTGCTCGATTAAATATTAATAGCGCGAGGGAGACTGTTATCCGGTGTCGCGTGAAAAGTGATCCTTGGCCACTCCGGAAGGGCATCGTGGCCTCATGGGTGGACAAACGGAGACGCAGTGAAAGAAGCAAGTATGAATACTTGAAGCACTCAATCGAGGAACTAATAATGATAGTTTAGTTAGTATAAAGTCATGTTGCATAAGTTACAATGCATACAAACATCAATACTAAAGGCAATAAGTAGACCTAATTTAATCCATATAAATTAGACGAAAAGTCTCCGTAATCCCGAATTAATGAAACTGTCGCGGCCTCGTGCTTGCAGCGCAACGCTTGATGGGTTTTGGCGGCAAGCGCGTGCACTGGCGTGAATTATGTGCGCCGTGCCCGAAGCTCGTTCCCGCGTGACGCGTGTAACTCGAGCCCGCGCCGCGGCCGCCGTCAGTCAGAAATAAAAAATCATTTGTCCGCAGCGGGCGCGCTGCTCGATTAAATATTAATAGCGCGAGGGAGACTGTTATCCGGTGTCGCGTGAAAAGTGATCCTTGCCCACTCCGGAAGGGCATCGTGGCCTCATGGGTGGACAAACGGAGACGCAGTGAAAGAAGCAAGTATGAATACTTGAAGCACTCAATCGAGGAACTAATAATGATAGTTTAGTTAGTATAAAGTCATGTTGCATAATTTACAATGCATACAAACATCAATACTAAGTATAGGCTACCAAGCCAACATAAACATGTAGTATGGCTACACTATAAATTAAAATAATGTTTTATTTTATATTTATAATACATTTTTAGAATATTTAAGCATAAATTTAACCTTGTGATTAATTAAGTGATTGACTAATCAGGGTTATCTCTCTCTCATTTATCCAGGTACAGTGGATAAACATTCCCATCCCACAAAGGTTTATTTATTTTTCACTCATTTTTTCTCTTTCCCTTAGTACCTCACCTCAATCGAAGGAGTTTCTACTAACGAGCTGATGACCTGAATCAGGTGTGTTTAAGGAGACATGCAAAAAGTGCAGTGTTGGGGTGCCTCCAGGACCAGGGTTGGGAACCACTGAACTAGTTGATTGGACTAGTTTGTTGGACGCAGTGTTGCCAATTTAGCTACTTTGTAGCTAGATTTAGCGACTTCCCCTTTTGAGACTTTTTTCAAAAGTTTATGGACAAATATAGCAACTTCTTGGACAAACCTTATCCAAGTTCTCATCTTGCCCACCGATCTACGTTCATCTTTATATAGATCAGTGAATTTGCCATTATGAAGTCATCTAGTGACATTTAGCTACCAGTTTTAGCTACTTTCAATTGAAAGCAGTTGGCAACACTGGTTGGACGTTTTACCTCTATTCCTCCTCATTTTCCATTTATGTAATATATAATAAAGTACATCCTGACTTATAGGGCCCATTTATGCCAGCTGCCAACGATTAACACGGCCAATTGACCTCTCACAGATTTCTCTACACATCTCCAATGTCAATGAGCAGGCAAGAGGCAATAAGTAGACCTAATTTAATCCATATAAATTAGACGAAAAGTCTCCGTAATCCCGAATTAATGAAACTGTCGCGGCCTCGTGCTTGCAGCGCAACGCTTGATGGGTTTTGGCGGCAAGCGCGTGCACTGGCGTGAATTATGTGCGCCGTGCCCGAAGCTCGTTCCCGCGTGACGCGTGTAACTCGAGCCCGCGCCGCGGCCGCCGTCAGTCAGAAATAAAAAATCATTTGTCCGCAGCGGGCGCGCTGCTCGATTAAATATTAATAGCGCGAGGGAGACTGTTATCCGGTGTCGCGTGAAAAGTGATCCTTGGCCACTCCGGAAGGGCATCGTGGCCTCATGGGTGGACAAACGGAGACGCAGTGAAAGAAGCAAGTATGAATACTTGAAGCACTCAATCGAGGAACTAATAATGATAGTTTAGTTAGTATAAAGTCATGTTGCATAATTTACAATGCATACAAACATCAATACTAAGTATAGGCTACCAAGCCAACATAAACATGTAGTATGGCTACACTATAAATTAAAATAATGTTTTATTTTATATTTATAATACATTTTTAGAATATTTAAGCATAAATTTAACCTTGTGATTAATTAAGTGATTGACTAATCAGGGTTATCTCTCTCTCATTTATCCAGGTACAGTGGATAAACATTCCCATCCCACAAAGGATCAGAAAGTCCAGCTGAGTTTATTTTTCACTCATTTTTTCTCTTTTCCTTAGTACCTCACCTCAATCGAGGAGCTAATAATCATAGTTTAGTTAGTAAAAAGTCATGTTGCATCATTTACAATGTATACAAACATCAATACTAAATATTACCAAGGCAACATAAAAGCCTATAAATATATTCTAAAAAAATGTATATAAAATAAAAAATTAAGCATGATTTTAACCTTGTGATTAGTTAAGTGATTGACTAATCAGGGTTATATCTCGCTCATTTATCCAAGTACAGTGGATAAACATTCCCATCCCACAAAGGATCAGAAAGTCCAGCTGAGTTTATTTTTCACTATTTTTCACTCATTTTCTCCTTTCCTTAGTACCTCACCTCACTTTCCCTCTACCTCTTCTTCGATCTGTCTCTCTATTGTCCTCCTCCCTCTCTGTCTCTCTCACTCCATCCGTCTGTCGCTCTTTCTCTCTCACTCACTCCTGTCACTGTTTCCTCGATTTGACCTTCACCATCTGTTTTGAATGAGAGCACTGTTCACTTTTGTTTAAAGGAACGCTAAAATCAGACATTCTCCCTGTCTCAGCCCAAACACAGTCCGTTCATTGCTGGAGAGTGGGAACCTCACCCGCTCTCAATTATCTTCAGAATTCCCCTCACACACACACACACACACACACACGTTGGCATGCTTATGCAAAAGTACTCTCAAACACATGCAGACTTGACGCTTCTATGCACACGTACAAACACAGGGCACATGATTGGGGACACCCTGGAATATCACGGAGGTGGAGACATGAATGATTCCAGTCTTTAGGTTGGGAATTCCAGCTTTAATTGGATCCGTGTGGCTATCAGGGAGGTGTATGCTTGGGCAGAGAGCAGCACACATCGTAACATATGCACACACACACAGCTGAGCTTCAGTTAAAGAAAGTTGGTGCAGAAACAGCAGTGGTTGTTATAGTGCTGGATAAAGTCATTTGTACAAACGTAGGCAGGCAGACTGGACAGAGTGAAATGAGAAAGACAAACAAGCATTTAAAGGAATATTCTGGGTTCAGGCCAGTTGGCACCAAGACAATAATTAAATGATAACGATAAAAATATAGTCTTAATTTTTTTCTACATTTAAAGGAACAGCAGAATCCACACCACAACTATAACAATGCAGCGGAACAATATCATTGGAATCACTTTCAAAATGATTTTTTGATGCATGTTTAAGGAAGTATTCTGTCATTAAGAGATGAGTGTCAAAGTAATGTTCATAATATACAGCTGTACAATAATTTGTAAACATGTATTCAGTTAACGAAGATCCTGAGGTAGAAACAGGAAGGCAACAGCTGAAGAACTATTTGATCAGATATAAATGTAGTAGGTTTATGAGAAGCATTATGTGAATGCTTAGCTAAGAAGATGTGTATTTAATTGAGATTTAAACCAAGTGTGTTTATGAGAAAAACTTGACACCTCAAATAATGCACAGAAAAATTAATGTAAGCAATTTTATAAAATGTATAAAGCCCTCATTCACTTTTATAAGACAATGAGGGACGAGTCAAAACTATTTTTGTGGTAATCAATATTATGCCACAAAGGCTGTCAGCTGAACTTAACTTGTATTGAACCCATAATATTCCCTCAAAAATATTTCATACATTTAAAAACACCTGCTTATTCTCAAAGGACAGGATTCGCAGTGAATTACTCTTCTACCGCACCACTCAATCAGTAATCACCCCCACCTGGACAAACATTTCACACCCTGTACACACGCTCACGGTCGTGTTCCTGTAACATTTACCTCGTGTGATACTTTGAGCAATTTATTCTCTGCACTTTCATCATGGCAGAGTTTACAAGACTTCACTATGATCCACCCCTGGCTGCACACTTATCCAAATGAGTCAAAATACACAGACACACACACATTTACTTCAATTTAAAATACACTTTCTAAT